ATTATGCGTTTAATTCTGAATGGATTAAGCACTTATCTAATTAAGTGTCTCTTATAATACAAATTTGAAATCATTAACAGTGACAAGTGCCATTTAAAATGGGTAAAATTTTAAGTGAGAGACATCACTTATAATTAAACTAAATGCTTAAATTGAAAATTTTAAAAAAAATTTTAAAAAATATTTACTAGTTTTTTTTAATTAGTACTTAAAAACTCAACACTTAAAATTTAATTCTTAAAATTTTTAATATTTAATTTTCAATTTTATCAAAAATCACCCTAGTTATTATAGAAAATATATGTAAGTAGGTTGAGGATATTTTTTTGGTTCAATAGTTGGGCAAACTAAACTAAAAAAATTAAATTTTATATGCAATTAATATGCTCAGAAGAGAAGTGACATAGTCAAATGAAATATGTTAAGATTTAACTGCACTTGACGCAGGGCACTTTGTCAAGGAAGGAGTCCAATTAATTATAAGGCCACATTTTTTGAAAATATCCACATCAAAATATTCGACGCGTGGATCACCCAGCCTCTTGTTTTTATCTTTTTACCCTTATTATAAGATGTAATAACCGCGCCGCCACTCCGCATGCGCTGTTTTTGGAGATAAGTATCCACATCGATGCGGAGTGTGGACCCAGCCTCGTGCTCTTACCTTTTTACCCTTTATAAGATGTAATAGCCACCATATCCACATCAAAAATAGGACGCGGAGCGACGATCCCAGGCTGCTGCTTTTACCTTTTAACCCTTTATAAGATGTAATAACCGCGCCGCCATTCCTACATACTTTCCAAAAGAAAACCCTAATATTTTTCTACCAAACATACACATTTTTCCTGCTTAATTACTTTTTCAGAACTCACTTTTGTCTGTTGATAGCTTTCGATTCTGCAGTTTGTGTGTGGTTTGAAGATGGTAAACCCAAGCCAGTTCTGGGAATTAGATCAAGATGTTATGGAACTTCATGGATTTCAATTGCCGCCGTCTGATTGGCTTGTCTTGAAAGTATGTGTGCATCACGTTATCCAAACAGACAACAATGAGTTGATGGAAGTAGATTACCCTCAAAGAGATTTGTTCCTAATGCCGTCGTCTGTGATAGAGTCCGATGACACGGCAGCCGCGTACTCATATTTCTATGGCAAAGTCTCTCCCATGGGAGTCACCGTAGATGGCCGTATGTGTGAAGAACTAGTCTCACTCTCTCGTGTCTTGAACCTCAACAGAACTGGTATTGCCCATAACGCCTTACCCGTTGTTATTCTTCTTGTAACAATCGAGGATATGGAGGCGGTAGATGATGTTGACTCCGATATGGAGATCACACAATCATTTCGGATAGATGAAGATTTTGTTGACCCTGATGCTTTCCAATGGTCCTTCTCACATGATCATTCTCTTCCCTTGATAGCATCTGCCTATCACTATACATACCACGATGATTCGGTGGAATTAGAAAATCCCACTGAGATCACACAATTGCTCGCTGTGCCGTTCTGTGTGCTAGAGTCTGATGATGATGAGCCTGCACGCTTATTCTTCTCTACCGCACTCACTCACATGGGAGTCATTGTAGATGGCCCTCTCTTGGATCAGCTCCTCGATCATTGTCGTCACATGAACGATGTAAGAACCTTCCATATATATACCAACAACACCATACCCACTGTTTTTCTTGACGTAGAAGTTCGAAGATGGCCGTCCAATTACTATATATATGGAAGTACCGATGATGATGCAATAGCTCGAGCTATGGAGGAGTCAATGGAGGAGGCCAAGCAGATGGTACCGGCAAGTCCATCTTCTCTCGACACGTTGGAGAAGGTGAAGTTTGATGGTTCTTGTTGCATGAATCATCAGTGTTTGGTTTGTTTGGAGACGTTTCTAGTGGATGAGGTGATCACTTGCATGCCGTGCTCCCACCTCTACCATGAAGACTGCATCATTAAGTGGCTAAAGACCAGTCATGTTTGCCCATTGTGCCGGTTTCAGATGCCAATTAACTGAATCAGACTATAGTATTGTTCAATGTTCATTGTTGTATGTTCAGTTGTGTTATGAGACAATTTTGTATATAATTAATGAAGGTTGTATGTTCATGTTTGTTGTTTTCTATGTTCATGGATGATGGTTCTATGTGATCAGTTGTGTTATGAGTCTCTGGACTGGATATGTTTCCCTGTGCTGGGTATGTGATGCACTCATCCTCCAGAAAGTGATCACCTAGTGAGACAATTCCTCACATTTCAAACCTATGCTCACAGGGTCTCACAGGAAGAAGAACAACTGTAGTCAACACAAATACTAGAATTTTTATGACTTAGAATGTCTTTTGTAGACATCCCATTTTTTTCTTGTCCCGTGAAGTTGCACTGCCAATACATTTAGGGTTCAAATTAATAGCAAAAGTGGGTTATCTCTACCAATTGGTACTATAGGTAAATATGTGTGCTTTTTTTAATTTAATTTTTTTATTTTTTTATATACCTTTCCATTTTAATTACTGACATTTTTAAACTTCCATATGCAAAAACTAGAGAAAGTGACTACTAGTGTGTGTTATATATATATTCCTTTTGAAATGAGCTGCAGTACTTTAACCTTTTTCTCTTGCCACATAATCTTTTGTAACAGTTACAACCACGTACAGTGTTTGGAACCTCATCCAATTGGACAGACATTCCTTTTCAATTTTCATTTTCTGTGGAAAAAAAAAAGAAGGGAAAAAGTGAGAAATATCCACTCCAAATAAAAAAAGAAGAAGAAAAAAACAGAAAGAAATATCCAAGTATGCACTTGTTAGATGGAGTATGAAGAGACCACAAACAATGACTTGACAGTCCTTGGAGATGAAAAGTAAGAAGCAATTGCATTACCCACTCTTATGCAAGCCATAAACTTTTCAGTATTAACAGCTTCAGAGAGGGAAGTGTTTTTTTTTTTTTTTTTTTTTTTTTTTTTTTTTTTTTTTTTTTTTTTAGTTTTTGGGTCATCCCATTTCTTCATTAAGTGCTCATACAGTTCTAAGGTTTGGAATTTTATTCAGAGCATTGTAGGCTTCTATATACTTCCTAACTGCTGGTCTGACTTGGTACAATGGTGTTCAATTCACTGGAACTCCACTCAGTTCTTGACTCACAAGCTATTATGGTCTGCTGCAATTTACTTTCTATGGCAAGAAAGAAATGCAATAGTTTTTAGGAATGCTGCAGCCCCTCCCCAGCATATTAGCTCACAGATTAAGTCAAGCGCTATGACAAGACTTGCTACCATCAAGCTAAGAAGAACTTCGGATTTGAGACTCATTTCAAAAGAACAGCTCATGTGGGCACAACTGGTTACTGTCTTGAGGTTAACACAACTTACCATGGTGTCAATGCCCTGCACTAGTTTACCTGGTATTAAAAATGGTGTCAATGGCTTGGACTAGTTAGTCTCTGTGCAGACATGGGTTGATTGGTTGTTCCCTCTACTTTGTTCTTATGTCTTCTTACTTGCAGTCTTCGTTTGTTTTGTAATCTTGGTCTTTGTTTGTTTTGTTTGGTGTTTCCCCCTACTTGGGGCTCAATGTACATTCTATTCTATTTATGCACAAGCTTATCTTTAACCAAAAAAAAAAAAAAAAAAAAAAAACCCCAAGATAATTTAATAGACTTATATATTTTACCATGTACTGCAAGAGATTGTTCTAACTTCGTAGGTCTTTTTTTTTTTTTTTTTTATTTCAGTTGAAAGGGTAAGGTTTAATAAAGAAAAAATAAGAGCTACATGAATGTACAGCCCGAAGGCAAAAACCATAGATACAAATCAACCATATCCAAACTATCAAGCAACCTAAATTCAGCAAATCTCTTGCCTTGTACCAGTAACATGCAATTAAACCCATGGACCAGATAAAACTCCAAGCACAGCAACCCAATCATCCCAAAGTAAATGACAGTGCATTGCAATTACTCTACCACAAGGGCCATCACTGGATCTTCCTACTGCATTCCTTTCATTCCAGATAAAGTAAATGGCTGCAGATAGTACAAGTTTATGGGTGGTGAATTGTTTTGTTGTCCAAAACTTAGAGCACCAAGCAATGAGGTCTACCCAATTGTCTGGTTGGATATAAAAGCCTGCCACATGCTGAATAAACTTGAAAATGATGCAATAAAACTTTGCCAAGGAAATTAATTATGTTCAAGTATATATAGAGGGAAGAGCATAGTTAGTCTTGCGAAAAAGCATCACAAACAGGTTTCAGTGAGATTATGTTTTCCATGCATTTTGGATTTGAGTTTCTTGGAAAGAAAATTCACTCCAAAATTATGATCCACTTTAATATGGTTCTGCTGGCTAGCGAGGCACTAATCTCAATCAAACGTACAGCCCCAAGAAAAGTTAATCCTAGGCTCTTAATTCATTAGGAGGTCTCATTAATCTACGCAGCTAATTGATTCTTATCATTAATTTCTTGATACTTTCACTCTATGGGAAAGAAACAAATGGAAGAAGATAATCCAATGACACTCATGAAGTTCATCATCAAATCTCATATCGATCCAGTCCTGTGGTATATGAAAATTGGTTACCAATGACACTCATGAAGAACCATTTACCAGAAGTGGATTAGTAGCTAGCCTTGAGAAATTTGTTATCCACCGTCAGACCTGCATGTAGGCAACCACATAAAACAATCCCTCTTAAACCAAATGAAACTCCCAAAAACTGGCAACCATATCTGATGTAAAAGAGCTAAATGGTTCCATATTTGTTAAAGTCAACGTAGAAGAAATATCTTCATTGAATACAAAATATACACAGAACATAGAACCTTCATTGCATAGCTTGTGATATCATCTACAAAGAATCACAGAACCTTCATTGTATACAAAATATATTGAGCCTTACAACACACAAGTAAAAGTTTAAAACCTTCATTACATTCCTTCTATACAAAATTCAGTTTCATATATAAGTAAAAATAAAACCTAATGGATCAATTAGGTTTCCATCTCAAAACGGCACAGGGGACAGTAGTGGCTGGTCTTTAGCCACCGATGAATACAAATTCCATGATATGGATGAGAACATGGCATGCTAGTAATCAAGTCTTCGTGACAAAACATCTCCAAACAAATCGAGCAGTGATCAATAGAACCAGAACTATCGAATTTCATCTCCTTCAAGGCGTCTAGAGATGATTGTGTTGCTGGAACGAGCTGCAATGCCCCATAGTCCTCCTCCATTGACTCATCCATAGCCCAGGCCATTGAAGACTCCTCCTCCTCCATAGCTTGACTTTCATTATCGGACTCAACCTCATCATCGACATTAATGGCAAGAATAACTACAGGTATGGCAGTGTGAGGAATACCAGTTCTATCGTTGTTCAGGAAACGAGAGAAAGATAGGAGCTGAGGACATATGCGGTCTATCATGTCTACCGTGACTCTCATCCTCTCAAGGATGGGAGAGAAGAATGATCGTGCAGTTTCATCAGATTCTAGCGCACACGCCGGAAAGAGGGAATAATCGAAATTCACAGTCCGATTTCTTTGCACGTGTACTGCCATGCCAAGCATTTCAGACGTTCGCCCTCCGTCGTCCTCTTGCTGCAATTCATAAACTTCTCTGTCTAGGTGCCATTCTTGCCCTACCATCTTCAACCACACACAGATAAACTGTATGCAAAAATCAAGAAATCCAAACCCAACTTCTGAAAAGCGCCGCCGAAATATTAGGGCTTTCTATCTAAAACGTCGTATTGTTAGCAAACCAGATACAAACTGGATGCACAGTGGCTGCCTCCGAAACAAGAATTATTAAGGTTTTTGTAGGCGAAAGTTGGGCAGGCCCAAACGGAATGGGCCGGACGGGTTGGGTAGCCGCCAAACTTCGGCCCTTTTTTTTTGTTTTTTTTTTTTTTTTCTCTCTCTCTCTCTCTCTCTTTTTTCTCACTTTTTCTCCTTTTCCATGTTTGAAAATATAAAATTTTCTTAAAAAAATTTAATTTTCAATTGATTAATAGTATGCCATTTGAACTCATCAAACGGATGGGTATTCTGATTGATTATTATTTTTTGCTTCACTCCAGTTTTATTTTCATTAATAAAACAAAATTAAAATTCACCTTATTTTATTTTAAATATAAAAAAAATAATAACAATTTTATTTGTTATTCAAAAAACTTTTACTTTCAAATTATTCCAAAACAAAACCATAAAACAAACATATTTATATATCTAGGAAAGTCCGACTAACACAAGTTGTGAGACCAAATCCAAAATTTCAAATTATTTCAAAAGAAAATCCTAAAACAAACTTATACATACATATTTATATATAAATTTATTTAGGAGGAAGGAAGACACCAAACAGAAGGTTCCAATGACACAAATGGGTGATCGTGTATGACCCAAAATTAAAACAAATTGGGCAAATTGCTAATCCATCACATTGGAACAATCCTCAACCAATACTTTTGTGAAAATCTTAACATTTGATCTACAAAGTTGGAAACTTAAAAGGAAGGATTAATTTAAATCGCACGGAGCGAAAGAGTGAAAAAATACAAGTACGAAAGTGATAAAATTTAAGTTACACATAATTGGAACAAGAGCAAAATTAATCATGTGTGGAGCGTGAGCGAGGCACTCGTTTATAAGAATTTTTTTTTTTTTTTTTTTTTTTTCATTTATAAGAATTTGAGTCAAGGGTCGGATTTGTTGAGATTATGACGTAAAATCTTAATTTGATTAGGTTTTTTCTTTTAGATGTGAAAATTTATGGACCATGTGGTCCAACCAATCATAACCCAATAGACAATCAAATATGTCAATCTTATTACAGAGTCACTTGTGAGTAATGATTGGCCGTGAAATAAGCAAGAAAATAAAAAAATAAAAAAATAAAAGTGAAAGAGGAAAATGAAAACAGAAATGGTTTTCCGCATGCATTTCCTAAAGTGTAACAAATACTCTGTTATATACTGAATGTGCAAATATTTTCTTGGTCTAAAAATAGTCTTACATTTTCTAAAATATTAAACAAATAAAGACATTTTCTTAATTTAAAACTTGAAAAACCTAAAATTAATTTATAGAAATAAAAATAAAATAAAAATACTAACGGCTTAAAATATTGATTGTTAAGGATATTTTGAAATTTTAATAATTTTTTTTAGGTCAAAATTGACAATCTAACATATCCACAGTTTCAAATGTTAATAATTTATATACGCAACACATCATAGAAAAACACACTTCTTGTGCTTTGGGCCCCTAAGTGTTGCACTAAAATTGGCCAGCATTTTGGTCGCCTTACATGGATTGTTTTTAGTTGTTTTGTTGCTTTGATTCTCTGTTTTATCTTCACAAAAAATTAACATTTCAACCCAAAGGAAGACGACAATAAATGGGTAAAAACATCTAATTGGGGAAATCTTTATAATTTGCTTTAAGTCAATCTACTAAATTTGAAATTAAGATGAGATATCGGTTTTGATGCGAAGGTGGACTTCACATGATAATATCAATTTCATCACTTGAATTTGAACTTGGCGTATTGATAATATCAATTTCATTACTTATGTCTTTGTGACAAATGGTCCCACAGGCATCAAAAGTCTTACTAGAGACACCTGGATAATAAATGTGTATTTTTTTTTTTTAAAAAAAAAAAAAAGAAAGATTGGAAGTACTCAAGAGAGCTTGCATAATTGAAATGATTCCGCCCAAGTAATTCACTACTCAGATTGCTCATTGTTCACTTATTGCCAAGTGAATTCTTTGATCTTTGTTTTGATCTATGTTAATGATATAAATCATTACTGAAAATGATGGTTAATTTGGTTATTAAGTGTCTCGAACAGTTTCTTGAAGCAATTTTTTTTTATTAAAGATTAATTGGGCAACATAAATATATATTTAAAAAAAAAAAAAATTTATCCCTTTCCAGTTGAATATTACTGACAATTTTAAACTTCCAGATGCAAAAACTAGAGAAAGTGACTTCTAGTGTGTGTAAGTGTGTGTGTATGTATATATATATATATTCCTTTTGAAATGAGCCGCACTTTAACCTTTATCTCTTGCTATGTAATAAATATATGTGTATGTGTAAATTTATAGCAAGAGAATAATGAACGGAGAGAGAAAGGACAAACAAAGAGACTCAGAGAGAAAGAGAGAGAGGACGAACAGAGAGACAGAGAGAATGAGACTTCAGATTTTTTTTCATTTCAAAATTGTACATGCCCAATGCCTTTTATAGGCTTCAATAATGGCTTCTTCAGTACGCTTCCATAGCAATCTTTCTTTATAAGCCATAAAGACTATGATTACATGTATGACTTAATAAATTTGTGGAGCCCACAACAAGTGTATATCTATATAACACTCCCCATTGGGGTCCACAAAACTACACTAAGAATATGTCTCGTTAAAACCTTGCTAAGGAAAACCCAGTGGGACAAAACCCTAGCGAAGAAAAAAGAGTACAGAATTCTTATGTCTCTTGAAAATGGTATTGCATAGATTAAAACTGCCTCATTAAAACCTTGCTAGGAAAACCCAGTGGGACAAAACATGAACAAAGGAAAAAGAGTACAGCATGCCAATACCTCTTTGATGAATTGCTCCCCCTCATTAGATCAACCCTGAAGATCCTTTAGTTGACGCATTCCAATGTTGTGCACTAGCTTCTTGGATGTTGTAGTTGGAAGCGTTTTAGTGAATAAATCTGCTAGATTTTCACATGAACGTATCTTCTGAATATCAATATCACCCTTTTTCTGCAGTTCATGTGCATGAAAAATTTTGGTGAGATGTGCTTGGTCCTGTCACTTTTAATATACCCTTCTTTCATCTGTGCAATGCATGCCGCATTATCTTCATATAATATTGTTGGACTTTCTTTTATTGATGAGAGACCACATGTTGTTCGAATATGCTGGATCATTGATCTCAACCAAATGCATTCCCTGCTTGCCTCATGAATTGCGAGTATCTCAGAATGATTTGAAGAAGTGGCAATCATTGTCTGTTTCATCGATCGCCATGATATAGCTGTGCCGCCACAAGTAAACACATACCCTGTTTGTGAATAAGCTTTATGTGGGTCAGAAAGATAGCCGGCATCTGCATATCCAACTAATGGAGACTTTGGTGCCTTCGAATAAAACAAGCCCATATCAGTTGTGCCACGAAGATATCGCAATATGTGTTTGATTCTATTCCAGTGTCTGCGAGTTAGTGCAGAACTGTACCGTGCTAATAAATTGATTGGAAAAATTATATCAGGTCTTGTGCAATTTGCAAGATACAAAAGAGCACCAATCGCACTGAGATAGGGCACTTCAGGGCCAAGGAGTTCTTCATCATCTTCATGAGGACGAAAATGATCTTTCTTGATGTCCAGTGATCGGACAACCATTGGGGAGCTCAATGGATATGCTTTATCCATATGAAAACATTTCAGAATCTTTTCTGTATATGTTGATTGATGGATGAGAATACCGTTCGAAAGATGTTCAACCTGCAGCCCAAGGCAGAATTTTGTCTTTCCGAGATCTTTCTTTCTTTAAATATGTGGCTGTCTTTTCGATCTCGTCCAATGTTCCCACAAGGTTCAGATCATCAACATATACTGCAACAATAACAAAACCAGATTCTGATTTGTTAATAAATATGCATGGACAAATATGACTGTTCACATACCCTTCTTTGAGTAAGTAATCGCTAAGGCGATTATACCACATTCGTCCAGATTGCTTCAATCCATATAAGGATCGTTGTAATTTTATTCAGTGCATATTACGTGGTTTTGTTTCAGGCATTGTAAATCCTTCTGGGATTTTCATATAAATATCACTATCTAGTGATCCATATAAATATGCTGTAACCACGTCCATTAAATGCATATGCAATCTTTCTGTGACTGCTAAATGTATTATGAATCTAAAAGTAGTTGCATCAATCACAGGGGAATATGTTTCCTCATAATCAATACCAGGTCTTTGTGAGAAACCTTGAGCTACAAGTCGGGCTTTATATCTCACGATTTCATTTTTCTCATTACGTTTTCGTACAAACACCCATTTGTACCCAACAGGATTAACACCCTCAGGTGTCTGGACTACTGGTCCAAATACTTCATGTTTAGCTAATGAATTTAGTTCTGCTTGTATCACTTCTTTCCATTTTGGCCAATCATTTCTTCGTCGACATTCTTCGACGTTTTGAGGTTCCGGATCCTCATTTTCAATATCAAGAGCAACAAGATATGAGAATATGTTGTCGACAACAATTTCATTTCTATTCCATCTCGTTTCATAATTTAATGAGATCTCATCATTTTCAGGTACCTTTGCCTCATCAAGAACATGTGCCTCATCAAGGGCCACATCATCATCTGTTGCTTTTGCCTCATCAATATTTATTATTTCATCATTTTTAGGTACCTGAGACTCATCAAGAGCATCTGCCTTATCAAAGGCTATTATCTCAGATTGATCAATAATATCTGTTGCTCTTTTGTGGCCTCTTCAGGAGTGCCAACTTTTCTTTGTGATTTCCTCTTACGAGAAACAATATCTTTTGCACCAACTGGTCTACCACGCTTCAGGCGTGTTTTAGATGCATTTACTGCATTACTGACAGAA